TTTATCATTTTCAATTCTGTTTTGGTTGTACTATGCTTGCAGAATGATTAAGGAGAGAGAATGAAGGGTGCATGTGAGAAGAAAGAAGACAGAGCAAACTTGGGAAGAACCCCTCCTGGAGGATGGGAGCAGAGTACCATGGGAGAGAAGAAAGGTCAAAGAGCTGAAGAACTGATGCTCATGACTTTAGTAATCCGGGGTGCACAGGAGTGCTGGCACTGCACAGCAAGGTGACAAGATAGTCTCTAGTCATAAGAAATATATGGTCTAGTATGCATGAGTGTTGATGCATCAAAGAGACACACAGAGGTAAAAATGGAGAGAGAGAGAGAGAGAGAGAACACACAGGCTTATCAGATGCCTCTTCTGGCCCAGAATGGCTAGTTAGGTATTGATGGAGGTTGGTGGGGGTAGGCAAGGAAGAGAGATTACAGTGTGCAGCCACCTTAGCCATAACTAAGGCTTTTCAGGCTTGCTGAATACAGTTTCGGAATGCAGTTCACAATCCAGTTGGCTCATGCACAATAGGGGAGAGGCTGTATGTTCTGTGCAATGAAACTGAACTATGGAAGGCACAGTTTTCCAGTATGGCACAGTGTGGCACATCTTAGGTGCAAAGCCTTCTAGAAAGAATTTGGGCTCCAAACTAAGTCCCAGCACAAATACTTAGTGATGTATAACTTGAACAGGTTACCTAATCACAACAAGACTTGTTTAAAACATACGGATAGGGCTGAGGAGACAGTTTGGTGGTCTAAGTGATTGCCTGGCAAGCACAAGGACTTGGGTTTGATCTCTGGTACTATATGCTGTGCGGCCTACTGAAACCAGGCATGGTGGTGAATGCCTGTAATCTCAGCACTGGGGAGGCTGAGACAGGAGGATCACTATGAACCCAAACTGCGTAGTGAGACCCTGTACCAAATAAATAAATAGATAAACAAGTAAATGACTAAAAAATATGTGGATAATAATTTTCTTGCCATGAACATTCATGAAAATCAGAGGAAATTGTGTATTCAAAAGCACCCGGAATATAGGAAGAGAATATTCACCCTCAAGATTTTGCTTTTCATCTTATGGCTGTTTACATTATAAAAACTGGGATTTTGTTCCATCAGTTCTGCTTGTGTGCTGAAAGAATGTTTAAAAAAATTTGAATCAGCAAGTTTAAAATGTAATATACTTTTTTGTTGGTCTTGCATTTTGTCTTACTCCCTGTATAAGACAATGATTAAATAGCTTTGGTTTTAGACACTATAGATATTCAACTCATCTTCATTAGTGAAGAAGGAGATGTTTGTGGACCACCAGAAGATGGAAAGTGCTGTAAGAGTGTTATTGGTATTCTAAAGTGGTTAGCTTAATGGAACATTTGACCCAAATTTTAAGTCTCAGCCCCAAAGAAGCAGTAAAGCTGAGTAATAAAGGGAGTCAGGGATAAGGGAGATATAAACCAAATTTATAAGCCAATTCATGGGGATGCTTGCAAAGCCAAATGTAAGGGGAGGGGTGCAGGCCAGAGCAGAAGCAGGCTTTCTCCCAGAAAGTATGTTCATGCATTTGGTAACTCACTGCCCATCGCAGAAGAAAGACTACCATCCTTTCTCAGTGGTGACTCATGTTTTGATTGGTCTCCTTATCTGCCTTCCCACCTATCCTCCCTTGAGTGAGAAAGCTTTCTGAAATTAACAAATTCTAATTCACTCTTCCAGTCTCTTCCATTCAACAAAATTATCTAATTGTAGAAAATGAGCTGAGCTGGGAAAGCAGCTACTGAGTTAAACACCTAAATATGAACCAACCAATCAACCAACCAAACTGGTTTGTAGCTTCAAGGAAGGAGTGAAAAGCACTGGGCTTTGGTGCCTTTACACCAGCAAAGGTGAACCTTCTAGAGCTTTCAGTGACACAGACAGCCTGCTAGGGTGTGCATGCCATAGGCTGCTCTAGACAACTGGCTGGAGCCTCCTCATTTATTTTTCCACTGCCTGCAACCACCTTCTCAGTCTCACCTCTCAAGTCCTCCACCTCTCTCCACTTACCTTCTCCCACTTCCCTCTCTCCTTCTCCATAGGGAAGTGAGGGCTTTGGGAAGGGGCAGGGAGGTTGCATTGTGGACTGTGCATCTACCAGGCACCACACCATGCATTTTACACAGCCTTTCTCCTACCTAACTTCAAAAACTTGAGACCAGTCTGAGTATCTGCATTTTGAAGATGGAAAAATTGAAGTACAGAGGATTTAGTAACCTGTCAAAGTTTGTATAGTGATAGTTTGATCCGGGATTTTAAACCAGATTTTTTTAAAACTTAATGTGAGATAGTATCAAGGTACAGCATACAAGGACATTTAATAAGGAGTAGTTGAATGAGAGAATAAATGAATGAATTCTCCTTAAATTATGTTTCTCTTTCTTTCTGGAGTGCTCTCTCATTCTCCTGGAAGTTTCTTTCTCTTGTGTGGCCACAGGGTTTCCTTAAAGATCTCCTGTCCCTTTTTGACCTTGTAGGTTGATTACTTATATGATTATGAAAAGATATGAAAATGTTCAAAGAATGCTTGGAAACAAGGCTGAGTTTGTTTTCACATAGTGGTTCATTTCAGAGCTCTGATGAGTCTTAAGACCGTCTGTTCCATCTAGGCATGTGAAGACCTGACAGCCTTTTTGCCCTTCACTATGTGTAGGACACTTTCAAGCAAACAAGTCTGACTTGCTCTCCTGGGTCCAGGTTCCCTTGTCCTTGGATGACTTCCACTGACTTGGAGCAACAGTGGAACCACTCCTGCGGTGAGCTCTGAGCAGAACAGGCCTCCGAGTCCAGCCTCTCAATCTAGGCAAGGACCTTCGCGCAGGGCCTGTGTGACTGCAAAACAGTGATCTCAAGTAGTTCTTTTCCTCTCTTTAGTCTTGAACGAAGCCTTCACACATCTTGGAAAAGCTTTTGTGATGCCTTAACAAGTATAGGCACACCTATTTTCCTTCCCATAGAACAGCATTCACTCGATCGAGTCTTTTAATCTAAGTACAGAGTTTCTACGCACAGTATTACTTTCTCCTTGGATGAGACAATAACTTATCATCTCTTCCTTTAATCAGTGGCAATGGTTAGTTTTTAATCAAAGCCATTTTTCCTGTTTCACCTGGATATTTTATGTCTCTCAAAAAACAAGGAGCATAGATAGAGTCCCTTCATTGTCTTTGTTGTTGCTATTTGTTTGTTTTAAATAAAAGTAGCAGAATTTTCTACTATCTAGAGAACAGAGAATTTTAACCAAAAGAAAGCAAATACAGATAAAAGATAGGTTAAGTAAAAGATAGGACTTTTGTTCTGAATTTGAATTTAAAGTTCCAGTTTGAATTGAAC